CCTTTCTCTCTGTCTCTCTGTCTATAACTCTATCTGTCAAATAAATAAAATAATAATAATAATAAGGAAACAGTGGGGATGGGGCTAAACTAACACTAATGATTTTCTAGGACCACTTCAAAGGACTTCAAAATCTCTAGCCATTTCAGACAATAGCAATCAAACATGCTGAAACAGTTCCAGGGTTGTGGAGGACGCCTGCACACTCCTGCAGGTCGGGCAGTAACTCTCCCTCCAACAGCTCTCCCAGGGACATGGTGAACAGCCCAGGCCTGTGCCATAGACCCCTGGTCTTCTCCAAGGAAAGGCAGGAGGTAGGCAAGCCCAAATTCAGTCACTTCCTTTGGTGTCTGTAGTGGGTCAGCAGCAGGTGTGAGAAGGTGCCTGTCCCACGGGAGAACGCGGCTGCCTGCTCCCACCTGCCCCTGACCCGGCCTAAGGCAAGTAGGCCGAGGCCCTCTAGCTGATCATCGGCTGCTCTGGGAGGACCAATATTGCCACACCTCCTCCCAGGAAATATCCGTCTTCCAGCTGTTTACAGTGCATGCTCAGGTTGCCAAGAGACTCCAGAAGGGAACTCTAACCCCACATCTGAAGTGAGCCCCAGCATTTCCAAGGATGACCTTGGGCAGCGGAAACTACAGTGAATGCCCACAGCAGTGTGTGTGGTGAGGTGGTCACAAGGTGGGCCACATGGGAAGGGGGCTGTGGTAGGTAGACAGATGACGTTTCTTCTCCTCAGCAAGGCAGTGAAGTTTAATGGCTTTATATTCCTCCTTTTCTCCAATCTCAGAAGTGAAATAATTTATGAGGTTAACAATTAGATCCAAGGGAATGTAGAGCAAAGATATGTTGATGGTGGGAGTTTTTACAACTGCTCTGATTACACAGCGCTTGTCTTTGAGCTTCCTAGTAGCCCATACAAAAACAGTCTCTCAGCTTTATACATCTGAGAGACAGACACTGTCCTCCATCTAACTTTGAAAGGGAGTCCCTCAGGATTCCACAGGGAGTTCACAGGATGAGGAATCAAAAGAAAAAATAGCGAAATCGGCAAAGGGGGAAAACAGAGGTGCCACGATAAGGTGCCGGCGTCCAGGGAGTGTGCAGAAGGCTGACTCCTCAGGGCAAGTCGAGTCATGCGAGGCTTCCAACACCTGGAGCGCTACAGGAGCCAGAAGTCCCCTGGATGCCATTACACAACCTCAGGGTGTGCAGGGAGCAGATGCCAAGAGCCCAGCACCAGCCTGGCTTGTGCTCCTCTGTCCATCTAGCCTCTTCGCTCTGTTTACAGGCCTAACCCCGAGAGCCTGCTTCTCCAGCGGCAACCTCACTTCTAAGGGGGCTGCAGACACACTGATGAGTCATTTCCCCCTTTCCTTTTCTGCACCAGCTCTATGCGGGCCCAAATACTGCTGCGTTGGAGTCAGTGACTGCTACAGTCCAGAAGGCTGTGGGGGGTGAGATGGTTCTGATGTTACATTTGGAGTAAGAATTGCAAAGCTGCAAGTGGTACAGTTACTGCTCTAGCTGAAGAACATTAGAGTATTTTATGTTTTCTAAATCAGTAACAAACCAAAATGATACACAATGCATACACTGCTGCATACGCCTATGGATGTTTTGAAAAACTGTGGGCAACAGGGATTCTTGAGATACAAACATTTATAATCCACCAGGGAATGCCTTAGTAGAACCTTGCAGCAACTCCTGTCTATAAACAGACTGCCCTCGCTCCTACAGCATTAATAAGGAATCCCTAATAGGTCTGCTTGCAGTTGGAGGTAGAGCTCTCAACTCTGTTCATCGGAAGCCTGGTGCTGCAGTGGGACCTCAGGGAGCCCTTGACAGCAGCGCTGCCGTTGTTTTACACACTGGGTTCTCTCCATTCTCTTAACCGCAGTCCATAGGCCTGACTGACCATGAGACATGTGGAAGCTTTCAAGATCCCAACACTTAGGGTCTGCCTCCAGACCAGTAACAGCAGAACCTCTGGGGGTGGGGCCCAGGCATCCATACTTTTTAAAAGCTCTCCAAGGGATTCTACAATGCAGCCAGCCTTGAGAATCGGTGGCTTAAAATACACAGCGGGGCCGGCACTGTGGTACAGTGTGTTAAACCACTGTCTATATCACCAGCATCCCACACGGGTGCCAGTACAAGTCCACGCTGCTCCACTTCCGCCTCTCTAAGTCTGCCTTTTGAATAAAATAAATGAACCTAAAAAAAAAAAAAAAAAAGGACTGTGAGTTTCCTAAGTAGCTCCTCTCTCAGGTATTAAAAAAAAAAAAAAAAAAAAAAAAAAAAAAACAACAACACAGCAAATCCAACTGTTTCTCTCCTGCTTCACTGTTCCTGCCCTGGTCTCAGCCACTGCAAGGTCTTGTCTCAACCTCCAGTTCCTGCTTCTACTCTTGCCAGCTTGCACCAAGCACACAGCAAATCAGATCACGCCCTGCTTCTGCGGGCTTCCCACCACACTTATAATAAAACCACAGCTCTCACAAGACCTGCAAGGTCCCGCACAACCTGGCTTCTGCAGCCCCCTCCACCTCTTATAACCCCTCTGCCTGTCACCGTGCTTTGGTCAGCCTGGTCTTAGTCCTTATTTCCTGAACATGCCACGCACAATCCTGCCCCTGGGCCTTTGTACCTCCTTTCTCCACTGCCTGGCAGACCCTGTGCTTGGATCGTCCATGCCTAGCTGACAGCTCCGTGTCATTCAGGTCAGCTCAATGGGACCGCCTCAGAGAGGTGTGCTCTGACCACCTGATCTAAAGTAACCCCTTCAACGTGCAGTCACACTATTTTACCATCCTTAAAGCACCTGACACTTTCTGCAGTCTCTTGATCCATCCGGAACATGAGCTTTAGGGAGGCAGGAACTTGGCTCAGGAAGGACCTCTCACAGAGCAGGCAGTCAATAAACACACATTCGTGTCACTTCCCCATCAGTGCCACTCCTCACTACTCCACGGTGATCCATGAAGAAAGACAGCCCAGGCCGGCGCCGTGGCTCAATATGCTAATCCTCCACCTTGCGGCGCCGGCACACCGGGTTCTAGTCCCGGTCGGGGCGCCGGATTCTGTCCTGGTTGCCCCTCTTCCAGGCCAGCTCTCTGCTATGGCCAGGGAGTGCAGTGGAGGATGGCCCAGGTGCTTGGGCCCTGCACCCCATGGGAGACCAGGAAAAGCACCTGGATCCTGGCTCCTGCCATCGGATCAGCGCGGTGCGCCGGCTGCAGCGGCGGCCATTGGAGGGTGAACCAACGGCAAAGGAAGACCTTTCTCTCTCTCTCTCTCTCACTGTCCACTCGGCCTGTCAAAAAAAAAAAAAAAAAAGAAAGACAGCCCGAGGCTGCCACCCTTCTGTCTGAAACCCTCAGGGGTTCTAAACTGCCTCTCACCAGTAACCCGGACTCCCCTGCTCTGGCAGCGCACCCGCACCAGCAACCCAGACCCCTGTTCCTCCTAAGGTCCCACTGTCCCCAACTCCTCGCTGTGCACAGCAGCCACACAGCTGCTCTCCCGTCTTTGTGTATGTCTTCCTGCCCTATCTTCCACCTCCCCTAACAGCGTCCACTGCTCTGACACGAACTGGCTGGGACAACACCTCCTCCAAGCAGTCACCCTCAATTAGACAAACACCCACTTCTTCGCTCTCCCACAGAAACCCACGCTTCCTCCTGCCATCACATGGGGCTCATCATAGGGGGCTCCCCTCCCATCTCTTCTCTACACAGAGGTTCCCTCAACACCTGGGCTTTGAAGACACTGGACCACGAGTACAAGCTGAGCAAAACACTATCTTTTACTACTGTATCCCAGTAGCAAGGGCATCTAAAAACTTCTGAATGAATCCTTAACTTGTTTTCAGTATGACCAAGTTGGTGCTGTGGGAAAACTCTCCCGGCCCCTTGTGTTCGGGGGCACTTTGAGTCTACACTTCTCCCTCAGGCGATGGCCGCTGTGTGAGCCCGTCAGCAGCACTCACACCGGGCCAGCAGGCCCCTGCCTGCCAGCGCGTGCCGCCTCACCGAGACACTCGCCTGTGAACAGGCACTGGCTGGACCAGTCACTGATGCGTCATGGGCCGGGGAAAGCTGCCTCCCTTGGGACAGACTCCCAATCTACCACCTGAGCCAGCAGGAAATGGAGCCTTTTGATAAGGGAGGACCCACCCTCCTTATTGTGCTTTCCTGGGGGCTCACAGAAACAAAACCTGTGCAGCCAGGCCCACTGCCATCAGCGGTGCCTTCCCTTTCCCGATTTAAACACACATGCCAGGAACTGAGACATGAAGCCACAGGAGGTCTTTATCAACACTGCAGCCCCTTGATAATGAATAGCAATGGGTGTTTTAATACCAGGCTGCAAAAACCTCCAATAGCCACTTGTGTGGCTTGACATATTTAGCTAAGTCATCACACAGAACATCACTGCTTTGCCATAGATACAGATATTCACCAAGAGGCGTCTGCCATGGTCCATACATGCTACTCCTGTTTTTCAGGAAAAGATAAACCACACTTAAGCAAAGTGAAGGTCATTTCTGTCTAAGTTCCTGGAACTGTTTGTAGCTTTCCTTTCAAATCTGCCTGGCTCCAGTCCTACATGTACTGGAAGCCTCATCTTGAACGAGCCCTTCAGCATGGCTCAGTTCCCAATCACCTGGCCCCTGAGTCCAGGGTCATCTGAGTGTGTCTTTCTAGCCAGGTCTGTTAGGTCAAACCCCTCCCACAGAAGGCTCCATCAACGTATTTATCAATGCATGGATGGTATCATTCAACCAAGACAGACAGCTGTGGTACAGACATTAGTCTCTTCCCTAGTTGGAGTTCCAGAGAATTCTGAATAAGGGGGAGGGTACACTCTCCCACCCAGTCCTGGCCCCTCTGTTCTCCACATTCTCAAGGTCCAGGGGGTACATGCAGGCTGTGGCCATGCCAGGGCCAAGGAGGAGAGTGTGGGCTGGTCAAAACGAGCCCAGACATACTCACGGGGTCCGTCAGCATGGCCCGGCAGTGGGAAGCCAGGGCCAAGAAGGCCAGCACGTTGAAGATGACTCCATTGATGATGCTGTACACGTAGTCTCGGGATGGAAGCAGCATGACGAAGAGGACCACGAACTCCGCATAGAGGACCAGAAACCAGGTGACAATCGCACAGGCAATGCCACAGCCGTCGCGGATAAACCACATGGTTCCCACAGGACCAGGGTAGGGAGGTGGGGTGCACTTCTCTGGCTGGAGGTATTCTGGCTTCCGCTCAATGTCTCGGAAGTGGTGGGTGGGGATGAGCATCATAAGCTATTCTGTCCATACTGGCATCTGAAAGAGAAAGCACCCAGGAGCTCGATGATGTCCTTCAGTTAGGGGACGGACAAAACCACCTTTGCAAAGCGAGCCCCAAGTATCCACGTGCGAACCCCCGGCTGAAGGCTTCCTGGATGCCTTTTCATTTAAAATACGAGTTGTCTTCTCTGTTCCTGAGTTTCCTTAGCCTTAGAGCAACGGGACCATCTTGCCCCAAAACTTCCCATGATGAGAATGAGAAGGCTGCACGCTCGGCCAGAGCCGGCTGCAGCAGAAGCAGCAGCACAGCACGCCACTTAGAGGCAGAAGGGGAACCCAGGCCTCTCAGCTGCTGGAGATCTGTGCAGACCGCGCTTCAGTGGCTAAGTTCAAGCTTTGACTTAAAGCAGAGGAAGAGGGGCAACAGGGCAGTGAGGTACGCCAACTGCTTAGGGCAAACCCCCCTCAGCAGACAAGGGCAAACCCAGACACTGCTGAGGCTGCTCAGGAGTAACAGGGATGAGTATGAGAAAAACAGTGGTGACCTAGGACTAGTGTTAGCTGTAACCATTAGGACATTCAAGGTCACTGCACTAGTCAATGATAAAGGCACAACAGTCACTAGGACAGATAAAGTTCTTGAAACCAATCAACTATTTCAGCCCGATTGGCCAGTAAGGTTGTTTTCTGGAGTAAGACACCTTGAGTTCTGCTGACCCTGTGGGTGACGGAGCAAGGGTAGAACGTGCTGGACGAAGAGTTCAACGATGCTCTCCACCACCTGGCCATGCGCTTTCATGAACCTTCGTTTCCTCTCCTGTGGGAACACCCACATTCCAGCCCTGGCCACCACCTCCCAGGGCTGTTGGTGTCAAAGCCAAGAGCGCCGGTGGAGGCGTTTGTGTGAGTGATGTCGACTGTTGCACACTGCACACCTCACCGACCGTGCACACACTCTCTAGGAAAGGCTCCTACTCCTGCAGAAACAAGCACAGAGGGACAAAGCACTCCTCCCTGCTGACAGCTTCACCCAAGTCTCTGGAGACAGCAGTGACACAACTAAGAAGCAATGTCTGAAACCTGTTCTGTGCCACAGACACAGGGAAGAGAGATGTCCCTGCTCTGTCTTCACGGTAACCTCTCTGGCTTACTGCATCACGAGCCACCAGGTTTCTCAGAAAATGAGATGGTTTTAGTTCACCATCAGATCTGAGTGCCATGGACAAGTCACCTGTGGCACAGGCTATGGCACAGCAAGTGACAACTCAGTCTTGAGAACTCAGCAGAGGCAATCACTCAGAAGCAGCACTGGCTACATGCACTGTCCTCAAGACTCTGGCTCTGAAGGGCAAGGGCAGGCTTCAATGCCTGCAGCGGAGGACGGCTGGGCCAACATCAGGGGCCAGGAGCCCAAGCTGGATCTCCCATGTGAGCAGCAAGGATTCAGTAGCAAGCTGGGATCAGAAGCCGAGTGGAGACTCAAACCCAGGCACTCCTACAGGGAAAATGCCTACCACACCAACCAGAACTTACAAACAAAGCAACCTGTGCTCTCCAGAAGGCAGGGACAATGTAGTGCAGCCAGGGACAACCTAAGGGCATTCAAAGAGTGGGCCCACCCTCTGCAGTATCAAACAGGACAGCAGGAGATGGCAGATCAGGGATGTCTGGGACCTGACCCGGGCTAGCAAAGATCCTGACTTCTGTTCAGCCAAGGCAGGACAAAGGCTGACATTCCACACTGACTCCAAAGGGCAACATTTTAACTACTTCTACAGATGCAGGAATTCTTTTTTTTTTTTTTCTTGCTACCACAGATTCCTAAGTATGTCACCTATGTTGCCACAATTACTATTTAAGTTCTAAACCACTAAAGTGTTATTGGCCCAAAGCCACACCACTGGATTATATACCATCTCTGTCTGCTTTTGTACTATACTGGCTGGTAAGAAGTGAGTAGCTCTGAAGGAGACCCAATGACCCACAAGCCACAAGCATTTACTCTAGAAAAGTTTGCTGATGTTTGTTTCCAAGCAGTGGTGACCCACCAAATGAACAATACACTCTTCATGACTCCTGCTTTCCCTGCAGAACAGCGTGGTGTGATCAACATGGTGACAACTCACCTGCCTCCTCCCATCACTTGCACCCTGAGGGCCATTTTAAAAATGTATTATTATGGGGCCTGCACTCCGGCTTTCTGGTAAACCCGCCCCCTGCAGTACTGGCATCCCATATGCGTGCCAGTTGGAGTCTGGCTGCTCCTCTTCTGGTCCAGCTCTCTGCTATGGCTTGGGAAAGCAGTTGAAGATGGCCCAAGTTCTTGGGGCCCTTTGCCCGTGTGGGACACCCAGAAGCAGCTCCTGGCTTTGGATCCACACAGCTCCGGTTGTTGTGGTCACATCTGGGGAGTGAACCAGCGGATGGAAGACCTCTCTCTGCCTCTGTCTGTGACTTTGCCTTTCAAATAAATAAATCTTTTTTAAAAAGTATTATCCTTTTTTGAGAGGCAAAGACACGAAGTGAGAGAGTGCGTGAAAGAGCAAGTGCACACAAAAGCATGACCGAGTTCCCATCTGCTGGTTCTCTTCCCAAACGCCTGCAATGGCTGAAGCTAGAACTCAGTCCAGGTCTCCCTTGTGGGTGGCAGGAACCCAATTACTTGAGTCCTCACCTGCTGCCTCCCAAGACCTCTATCAACAGGAAACGGAGTAAGGAGCCAGAGCCCAGTACTGAACAGAAGTACTCTCGATGGGGCATAGGCATCATTTTTTTTTAAACTTTGTTCAATAAATATAAATTTCCAAAGTACAACTTTTGATCATAGCGGCTCCCCCCCAACCCCATAACCGGCATAGGCATCTTAACTGCTAGACTACACCTGCCCCATGAGGGCTTTTTGGATGGCTGAGATGAATCCTAAAAATGAAGCAAAAAAAAAAAAAAAAAAGGCGGGGTGGGGGGGACAGAAGATTTTACAGCTGTTCCTGTCTTAACTACAACAGTCATCCATTTCTTCTGGAATGATGTGTAGTCATTACCAGGAACATCAATTACTGGAATGTGTTAGGAAATGATGTCCTCAGGGGTTACCCACATTCACTGGGCCTCAGCCTTCCACCAAGTGGCAGTTCAGATTATAATTATAACCCTGGCATCTCCTTTGTGCAGTTCTTTGTCTTCTTCCTCCACTCCTGGATACTGTCATTTCTCTGTCTATAGTTACCAATCCTCCCAACATAGCCTCCATTTACTCTTGCTAATTGGCTGTGGGCTGTTTATGAAGCAGGTAGTTGTTCTGGCTAAGAAGTCTGCAGGAAAAGCCTGTTGCTCACCCACCACACAGATCTTAAGGGCTAGAAGCCCGTACCTTATCATTAACCTGCTGCCTGGCACATAACAGCCACTTAATGTATACATTCATGAAACAAATGCATGAGCCTTGGGATCCCAGAACTCTCTCTAGAAGGCCGTGTCTGCTTACTCTTTCCTTCTTTCTTTCTTTCCTTTAGATTTATTTATTTGAAAGTCAGTTATACACAGGAGAGGCAGAGAACGAGAGGTCTTCCATCCAGTGGTTCACTCCTCAATTGGCTGCAACCGGAGCTATGCAGACCCAAAGCCAGGAGCCAGAAGCTTCCTCCAAGGTCTTCCCACTTGGGTACAGGGGCCCAAGGACCTGGACCATCTTCCACCACATTCCCAGCCCACAATAGAGAGCTGCACGTAAAGTGGAGCAGCCGGGACTTGAACCAGCGCCCATATGAGATGCTGGCACTACAGGTGGCAGCTTTACCCGCTACACCACAGCGCCCACCGTATCTGCTTACTTTCATGGCTGTGCCATAACCTGATTGGAAGAGGGTACACCAAACAGGTACACCAAGTTGGTGGACTAACCCTTACTCAAGTAAGCAGAGTATCCCATCCTTGAACAATGTGGGACCAAGGAGTGTACAGAGGAGCTGTGTTTTCCCATCACGCTCCCTAGTGAGCGAGGTTCTGTGATCTGGGAAAGGACGCAGTGCTAGACACCAAGAGCTGAATAGAACGGAGCATCCCAACTCACTTACAAGCTTCACAGTCTCACAATTAAATCAGGCCTCCCAAAACCACCCAAGTACTTTTCCTTATATTAGTCAACTGAAAATCTGAGAACTAAGGGGGAAAACTCTCCTTGAAACAAACTCCACGTTCCCTTCATCCTGCCCCTAACAAAGAGCAAAGCCAGACCCCTTTTCCTTTTCTATTTTCATCTGGGGACACTGCAGTCCCTTGAGGTCAAACAGAGGCTCTCTGCTAAGAACTCACCTCCCCACGCGAGTCCTTGCTTCTCAGGGGCTGGGCAGAATGAGCAGCTCGGGTCTCCCGAGCAGGTCCCAAGCCCCCAGTACTCCTACTGCCAACTAGCTCTCGCCTTCAGGGGGCCACCTCCAATCCCTAAACCCCATCACCTCGCCCTATTTGATCACTAAAGGCTCCTTTACTGACCTCAACTCAAAAACATTCACTGGGCTGCCACTAAATGTGACCAAGCGTACAGGGGCTCACACCTGAGTGATGAGGAGGACAGTAATGTGTGTGCGCTGCCCTGCTCTGGCTCCCAGTCCAGTCAAGTCTAGTTTTATTTGTTTTCCTCCACCAACCTGCAAGTCTCACCTGTTCATTAGCTCTGTAGCCTGGTGTCTGGCCAGGCAGACACACCCACAATAACGCTCACAGTTAGTGACCAGCAGAACAGCCCATCAAAGGGGCGGACAGTGCCGAAACCACCACCAGCAAGTGCCACAGACTTATTCACAGTGAGGACTTCTGAAGCAGTGGGGTCTGAGCAGCTCAGCTAAAAGCAAGGCACCAACTAAGTGGTGGTGTAGCATGGATGGGCTGCATGCCCAGAACCAGGTGCATGGCTTTACTGGGAAGTGGGAAGGGAGTGGAAATGAAATTTTAGGGGTAAGAGGTTATGTTTTAGAACCTCTGAACTTCCCAGAGTTGGCATTTCACCCTGGAGGAGCTGGCAAGTCACCACTTTCTGG